GTACACTCATCACAGATGTAATACTTGGATAAAATGACCTTTAAGTTATAATTAAGGTTGCAAATCCAAAAGATCTTTACAGAAAAGCAACTTTTTGGAAGATTGAATGCCTGAGATTGTGGAAGCCACCTCTTTTGCTAGTAGATCCCTTGGGTATCTAAAACTAACCTCAGCTGTATTCAGATGAGGTTCAGTGTCTATTATGTATTATTATTTCACCAGCTTTCTTCTGGTTCTGATCTAGTAGGTATTTTACAGCCTTTGTTTCTCACTATACTTAGCTTAGAAGTCCAGAAGAGCCTTGAACAGATTCAGTAGTTATATTCAGTTTTTTTAGAGATTAACTTGCTCTTCCTTGCAAGATCCAGACTTCTCAAAACCTTCTAAAGGCAGGGAGTCCTCAGTTGTGTTTTCCCACTGCAGTGTTTTATTTGCTGAGTGTATTGCTGCTGTGCTAGATACACTTTGGCTCCCTCTCTGCAGGTCTTGAATCTGTCCAGTGGCAACGAGGAAATTGTGGCTCCTGAGAATGTCTGGAACGGTATTCCTGACTCGGCTTGCAGATCATCTGAGGTATGGCAGTGTGGTAGTGGACTGGGTAGGACAGTACTGGTTTTTAGAAAGGGTGCTAACTAACTGGTAAATCATGAAAAATACTTCTATTATGAATTAGGAAAGAATAGTAAGGTTTTCACCAGTGTTCTTCATGAAGTACCTACCATGAAAAAGTCGTGTTTAGAACCCAAAGCTCAGGTCATCAGCCATGCTGTGGTGATAACAGAATGAATTTCCAGTTTGTTCTTCACATGCAGTTTCTGAATCAAAGCGAAAAGTGGGCAGAAGACCTAATATAGTGAATTATAAGGGGGGAAAACAGTGGTAAATAGGAGTCCAGTAGTGCTGATGTAAAAAGTTAGTCTAGTATTAAAGGAAGCATCTCAGTGGATGTCTTAGCAACAGTGCCAGCTTCCTAAGAAGATCCCTTTTTGTATAGGCATTAACCCCTGCAACAGAAAACTTCCAGTCCTTACCAGAGGAGTCCTTGCTTCATGGTAAGTGTACCTGAAACCTCCCAAACGGGTTGTGTATTTGGTGTTGAGACGTTTTCTAATTTTCTAGAAAATGTTTTATTTTAGAAAACACAGTTAAAACACTAATTTGAATTTATGTAGTTGATACTATTGTTGAGATTTTCTTAGTAGCATTAGCTTGTGTTCTGTCAGTTTAGGGGTGACTACATGCAATGAGAGCTGCTACTCTGTCTGGATTGGAAATCAGTTTAATAATTGCTTATTCACCTGAAGGATTGAGCCTCTTGGAAGAGCTTGTTCTTGGATGGTTCACCCAAACTATAATTTTTGGTAGGGTTTTGAGCGTGCTGTTCTTATTCATGTTTCTGAGGCAGAGTGAGTGACTGCTAGGCAGACTACCAAGCATTTAGTTTGGAATTTGAGTGTCCCAATCCCATAATAGATCTTTGGTCTATAAATCTAATAATGGCCAGTCTTCGCGAGCGAAGATTTGGGAAAGGTCATTAACCCTTCGAGCCTGCGCAGTGGATTTTTTAGGTGAGACACAGCGTGCGCTGAACTGAGCCCACCCTTTAATCCTGAGGTTCATCTGCCGGGGCCGAGTGAAACTCGGACAGTGGCAGTGAGGGTCTCAGGACGTAGGTTTGTTTAGAGTGACCTTCTCTTAGATGGATTGCCTCACAGGGCTAACGAGCTCCATCTGCCCGGGGGGCCGGGAATCGAACCCGGGTCGCAGCGGTGAGAGTCCTGCACCCTAACCACGAGACCACCAGGGGCCCCTCTATAAATCTAAACCCATAATAATACCATCTTAGTTGTCTGTGAATAGTGCATGTACATCTTTATTGTTTCTTAAAAATTTTGATGTGTTACTGGTAATCAGTGCACCAAATAAATAGTACAGGTTCTTTCTGGTTATAATCTTTGGAATTGTAGGGCAGTTCTGGTTGAAAGGGGCCTTTGGAGCTGCTGAAAGCAGGGTCAACAAGATGAGGTTGCTAAGAACCTTACTGACAGGTCTGGAATCTATCCAAGGATGGAGACTCCAAAACCTGTCTGGGCAACTTGTTTCTGTGGTTGCCTGATGAAGACTGAACTGAGTTTAAGTAGAGATAGCATATCTGCTTTCAGGGATTGAATTGGTAATTATATTTCAGTACAACTGTACTGAAAGCTGACTGGTTTATGGGTAGCAAATAATGAAGCCTGCAATAGAGATCTAGTTGCCTGTTAAGCAAAAAAAAAGCAGTTAAAAGAACTTGATTAAAATGTTAAAATGGTGAATCTACAAATTCTCCCCCAATTGCATCACCTAGATGCAGAATTATTCTTGATTTTGTGGTTTTGATAATACTTTTATAGTTTTTACCTCTTCATTTTTGTTGTTTTCCCTTATTTGGTTGCTAAATATTATTGTCCAAATTTGCCCATTGTCTGTTCTTGAACACTTCACATGAAATAAGTATGTTCGCCCTCTCAGCAGCAGCACAGGAGATGTGAGCTAAGGTGGTGCAACCACATGTCACAGAGCTGGATCTTGCTGCACATGTGTGCCACTGCCTGGAAAGGCAGTTTGAGTAGAAGGTATCTGATCCACAGGATGCAAAAACTCCTGCAGTGGTGTATGCCAAGCCCAATGAGGGATGGAGTGACTTGAACTCATAACTGGAATCTGGGAGCACTGCTGCTTCATCTTTTGGGCAGGTCTGCTCTTTCATCTTTCTGTAAATGTAGTCTTCTAATATGGTCCAATATGTTGGTAATATTTAGTCTGAAGCCCTGTAGAGCTGTGACTTTAGATGATAATGCATTTATATACATTTATAGACACATCTTGTTGGGTCTAATCTGTGTTTATTCCCTGTAGAAAAGCAAACCGGCCACAGTTGTGATTTAGTTGAAGATACTCGTGCCCTCCAGCTTTGCTGAAACCAAGTGACATGTTCACCACATGAAACTGATTAAGTGCCTGTGGGCCAAACATTCCCATGAAAATGTGTTCATGGGAACAAGAATACAAGCCAAGCATTGAGTACTTTTTTTTTTTTCTCCCTAACTGACCAAATGCCTGTCACTACTGCACTTCCTTGTCAAAGAAGTGTTGATGGTAGACTTATTGTCAGCTTTTTTTCCTACAGCTGTTGTTGGTAGACTGTTATTGTTAGCTTGTTTCTCATAACTGTACTTTCTTTATGAAACAAGTTTGCCTCTTGACTGGCATTTCTTATTGTGTGTGGGAGCACTGACTTGTATCGAGTTCTTGTATTAAGGTGGGTGGTTGTTCAAAAAAGGCTTCTTATGAGTTTCTGTATGTGCTATTTGTTGTACAGCACTGCTTGCTGATGTTTGCTTTTGGAAAGCAAAAGTTATGTTGTTACATGGGTTTTTTTCCTCAAAAACAAAAATAAAAATTGAGGGTATTTTTGCAGGGGTGTGGTGGGGGGAGGAAGGTTTTTTTCTCCATTGGGAAATACAGTTGTTTTGGGTTGGAATCTTGCATTTGGTGCTGTTCTAAAGCAATGGAAGAAGCTAGAATAAAGCTTTGGCTGACATATACTGGTTTGTTAATGTGTTTTTTTACTGACTTGTGTCTGTTCCTTATGCATAAGCACAAATGCTGTGTGGGCTGTTCTGCAGTCCCTAGTTCTGTTTTGACCTTAACCAGCTCTCAAGAGCACTGTGAGCTATGCTGAATAATTAGAAACATTAATAGCACGTAATTAATTGAAGTTATTCCAATTTCACTAATGAAAGATGAAGCTTTTCCAATAAATATGAAGATGACTCAATAGAATGGTGTCACTGCTACACAGGTACAGCAGTGTAAGGACTTAACCTGCAGCTGTTCAAAGGAGATCTCACCTTCTAATCTCCTCCTCAGGTGTTGAAAAGGGGATTTTATTTTATAGTGGTGTTCCATGCTCCTATATAGCATAGCTTTTTCCTCCTCTTCAGAAGCTGTGGATTTTTCATGCTGCCATATGGATTAGGAATGCAGGCTGGCTGATAGTGTCAGGCTGGCTGTCTCACAGTGGGTTTCAGGTGTTAGTGCTGACTCAGTAAGACAAACACATCTTTAATTGCTTAATAAAGACAATACATGGTGGTAGGTTGGAAAGAACTTCATTAAATTTTGAAGGACAGGTCTTAGGTATTGTTGCAATCTCATTTTAAGATCACAGATTATGTAACACTTAATTACACTGTTAATTGCTTTGCTTGTTCTGCTTGCTTCAGTTTTGTTTGTAACCTCATTTTGAAATGAACATAATTCAGAAGACACCCTTCCCATGGGGCAGATTCAGAGACTTTTGATCCAAAAATGACAGCCTTAAACAAGGCTGACCAGGTGGCTGCTGACACTATTTGTCCAGGTATTACCATTGCTCTCTGTCAGTGGGAGCCAGCTGCTTCTGCTGTCAGCTACAGACAGCACTGTACCTGGACAAAGATGAGTATCAGGGGAGAATTAGTACCATGAGAGACCTCAGGAGATCAAGCAGTGCTAACAAGGACCATGTAAAGGGAGCTTTACAGGTGCCACAGCTCTATAATTTCACCTGCAGGCTATGTGATAGTGGTAGCAGACATTAACAAGAGAGGAACTGCCTGGAGCTTTGCCCAAAGGGAATTAAAGGGAATTAAAGAGTGACCAATTCAGAAGCTTTTGGAATAGAAATATTCTCTAGGTATGGCACTAAATACAGATCTTACATTTAAGTGGATTAAGTTCAGATGAGGAGCCCTGTGTCTGAACAAACACCTTTCTCTGCTGTGATCTTAACTATTTCCTATAGCTTTTACTGTGGTTTACTAAAATAAGGCAGTTTTGAAGACCACCCTTCACTGGTACCTTTCTGACTGGAAGGAGCAACAACCTGCCCCAACTCACAGCTGTTGTCAGAGTACAGCTGAAACAGTATCTAAATGACAAAGTGGTGGTTTTGGGGAGGGCTTTGTTTTGGTTGCTTGCTGGATGCAAACTGACTTAAAGCTTGGTAAGCAGAACTGTAGCTGTATTCCTTGGAGCTTAATCTGTCTCTCCGCAGACTTGACTTAGGTCAAAACCAGAAAGAGCATTTAAATTACCATGAAGTGATTTCCCCCAAGCTGCCTACAAAGCAGAAGTTACCCTGTTGCAGTATTTCAGTATTATCCTACTATCCATTCACTATTATCCTACTAACTCATTTGAACCAAAACCTCTGGTTTTATGGTAATGTAACTTAATGCCTTTTTTTTTTTTTTATTCCACACCCCAAAAGCTGTGTAGGTGTTTAATGCCACCCCATGTCTGAGCAATGTCTGGCCAGCATTAGTGTCCTGATGTCCATGGGATTTTCAGTACTTCTTTGTATTCCTTATTCGGGTTCAGCTGGAGATATGTCAATATTGCTTCCAGGAATAACATTGGGTCCTATGCCATCCACAAGTGAATCCCACTTATCGAAATCTTTCTTAAGACCTGTAAAACGGGGGAAGTAAAACCCCAGTGGTAATGAGTAAGTAATCAGCTTTTCATAAAACTACACTGAAAAATTAAACCAACTTGGCAAAGTAGGGGAGACATGATATTTTAAGAAACATAAAAATCTGGAGTATCATTTTTTCTATGAGAACAAAATGCCAGTGCCATTCCTTTGAGTTGCTAAGATTACAAAAGTAACTGACAAACCTCTAGAAACTGTCTGACTTTTTTTTTCCCCTGACACACTTATTTTGATCTTGCTTTAAACTGAATAAAAAGCTTCACAGGAATTAAATATGAGCTAACTTCATACTTTTCTGTAAACAGATACTTACTTAGATGTTTCTGCAGGAAGGCCAATGAAGCATGATTGCTGATATCAATAGCTTCATTTGGATCTATTTCTCCTTTTAATTTGAAAAATCTTGCAATAATTCCTCCGCTTACAAAGGTAAAGTCAGGAAAGCTCTGATGTACTGACCCCCTGCAAATACAGAAATGATCAACAGGTTTATAAGAATACATTAAATCACGCAATTAAAATATGCAAAGACTTCAGTCATGTGTTTTACACTGTTTTCTTTAGCAGAAGATAAAACACGTTAATCTCACAAGCATGCAAGATTAGCAGGAAATTCTGTACTAAGCACAGAAAGGAGGAAGGTTTGTACATGCTCAGTGTAGGTCACTACAGCTGCAATGGCAATAAAGCGTTGGCTTAGCAAAACATCAACATAAAGTTGTTTTCCTTGTCTGTGGTGCAGGATAGAACCATCCACTGCACTGCTTTCACTGGGTGAGTGCAGAACTGCCCCCAGAAGGCTATTTAAAGTCTTCAGATGATGCATGCAACACTTGTGACCCAGGGCAGGAATGCACACCTTGGAGTATCTCAAAACCTGGAGTTACTGGCTGCTTTGAGAGGTCTGTCCCCAGTATGGGAGATGTATGGCTCATTTAAGCATGCAGTAAAAACCTGGGCCATGAGGAAGGACAGAATCATAGAAGCATTTAGGCTGGAAAAGACCTTTAAGATTATCAAGTCCAACTGTTAAACCAGCACTGCCAATCCCACCAATACACCAGGTTCCTCAGTGCCACTTCTGCATGAGTTTTAAATACTTCCAGGGATGGTGACTCCTCCACTTCCCTGGGCAGCCTGTTCCAATGCCTGACAGCCCTTTCAGTGAAGAAAGTTTCCCCAATATCCAATCTAAACCACCCCTGGTACAACTTGAGGCCATTTCCTCTTGTCCTATCACTTTTTACTTGGGAGAAGAGACCAACCCCTACCTGGCTACACCCTCCTTTCAGGTAGATGTAGAGAGTGGTAGGGTTCCCCCTTGAGCCTCCTCTTTAGGCTGAGCCCCCCAGCTCCCTCAGCTGCTCCCCAAAGGACTTGTGCTCTAGTGACTGTCTTTCTGCAGTTACATATCACTGCACACCTCCAACAAGAAAGGAAAGATTCACCTTCAACCACAGAAATTATGTGTCCTGGACACTTACTTGATAGTGATCATTTTCTTGTTTGCGTCATTGGAGATGAGCTTCTTAATCTTTAAGATGTTATCAGCCCACTGGAATTTTTCAGAGTTGATAAAAAGCAGCGGTTGCTGGACACTGTTCTGGTAAATGTCATCACCTACAGGAAGCATCCACACATCGAGGGCAATGCCACACCTGCCAAAAACAACTGGATATTGGCACAGAAGCAGAAAGCTTTTAATGGAAGTTCTCAGCATGCTTTGAGTTGCAAGAGACATGGGAAAGAGCTCTCTCTGATACTGAACAGGTTAATGAATCATTTTGTTCCAAAATTATTTCTACTCTGGGGGAAGAGAATTAGTCTGTTCTTGCATTTGTTGGTCTCCACTGCCAGGACAGCAGGGTCCCACAGTATCCTGATATAATAAGATACAGCTATTATGTTCCACCACATCCCCACAATTGGAAGAAGCATGACTGGAGAAAGCAAGACATACCAAACAAATGTTTGCTTCAGTTGCTAATTAGTAGCTGGGGGATCCTAGAGAAGGTGCTCTGCTCCAGAGCTCTCCAGTGCCAAATGTCTCTTGCCTTGTTTTGCATACTCACCTGAATCTTATTTCTTTGCTGAGACTCTCAATAACTGTAGCACCACCAAAAGAGTGTCCCATCACAGCTATTCTGCTAGTATCAACAGAATCCTGTCAAAAAAATCCAGGTGCCGTAAGAGACTTTCTTTCCCAAACTTTTTTTTTTAAAGGGAATAATTTCTTAGGAAATAGATCCTATTGAAGTGAGAAGAGCATCATTTCAGCTCCATTGCTATCTATCCAGCTTGAGATGACCTGAGAATATGTTCATAGATCTACAGTGTGATCTTCAGAATACTTTACAGGAACCAGTTTAGAAATGGAAAAGGGAGACCAGAAGCATTATTAGGTGTTTAACAAAATGCAGTCGCCACCTTTCACTCACCTTTAGGCTGTTCCAGTCAAAGTCTGAATGTAGTACATTTGTTACTTCCTCTCCTGAACTGATTTTAAGAATGAGATTGAGAGCTTTGATACACTCCTGTGCTCTTTGCTGCACCTGGGGAGAAAGAGAGGTTGGGGTATCTGCACAATAGCCTTGAAACTGTCTTTACACTGGATAAACCCCAAATAAGAAACCCCAAATAAGAAGCCCATCTCATTTTTTATATATACACATTCTTGAAAACTGTAGCACAGCTGTTGCAAATAAAGGTTTTCATTGTCCCACATAAGAACAGTTTTTAACTTTGATGTCAGTAAAAGAGAAGCTTCAAGAAGAATCAAAAAACAGGAGTGTTCTTGGGAACCACAGTGTGTAGGCAGCCAGCAAGATGTCTGTGCACCATACAATTTCAAATACATCCCAATCTCCTGACTTCTCTACTTGTGAAATTTGTAGACAATGGCTTCTGCAGGTTGTTTGCAAGCTCAGACATTACACACTGAGACTCATAAGCAGGATGTTGTAGGCATACAGGAAATGACTCTTGGACTGCTGTCTGCTGTCTGTATGGTCCTGGGAGATAAAGAGCCCTGGCTGAGTTTTCACTAGCTGGAAAATCACTCCCGTATTTTAAAGGTCAAGTTATGCTTGGAGGAGCTCATCAGTATGGTCACATCACATCTAGCATGGATACTGCTTATAAGCAGGAAGTCTGCACTGTTTACATTGCTAAAAACCACCTTCAGTGTGTTGAAGACTATGAAGCAAACATCCCCCTCAGAGCAGCCATGATTCATCTTGCTATGGAACAGTAAATGAAAGCTAAAGCGAGCCTAAGGCCACAAAAACATATGAACTGAACTCTGTGTCACTTATAGGCTGGGCTGGGCAGTAAAAGTGTGAAGACACAAAGAAGAAACAGAAAGTTGAGTGGAACCAGAGGACAAACAGCTGACTCAGCTCAAGAGTGCAGCTTCACGAGAAAGCTTTGTTGAGGAAGTAGTTTATGCTCTGAAGAAAACTGTTGTTGGCTTTTCCATCTTCAGGAACACATGACTTGATCCATATTTATATATACCCTGAGTCATGGCAGAAGACTGTAGACATTGCCAAAGGGAAAGAGTCTGCTAGTCAGCCCTAAATACACCACTCCTGCCACACTTCCCAGAGCACAGACCCAGTCCAAGTACCTGCTTATGGCGCAAGCAACGCTCCTCCTCTCCAGTTTTCAGTTTCCTGTAGTAGATCCACTCCTTCTCCATGTTTGATGTAGATTCTTCCTGTGATTCAGAAACGGACCTTCTTTTACAATAATATGTTGCTGAAGCAGATTCATCTCTGTAATATCAGCAAAAGGTTATTTCTGGGTATGCATTCCATTTGGTCTGAGATGAAGTCAGCACAGGTTTTAGATTTCACTGATCTGGAGATCCAGTTATCAACCAGTGCTACTGCAATTGCAACTGAGTGTAGACAGACTTTCTAAATGATGCAATAACCCCACCAAAACTCTCAACTTCTTTATATTCTCCATATTCTATTTACTGTGAGACTTTTTACTCCAGGGCTTATCTAAGCAAAGTTCCTTTTGTTTAGGGAAGAGTTGAGCTATGGGAGCTATGCCCAGCTATGGGTAGGGCTGAAAGAGAGATGTCAGTTTTTCTTTTTTAAAAAGAATCAAAAATTCTTCTTTAGAATAAAAAACATTCTGTTCAATGTGAGAAAATTTCTTGCCATCAGAACTCCCAAAACATGCAGCATACACACCTGTGCTCGACAGCAGCCACTATAAAGCCCTGAGAAGCCATCTCTATGCAAATAGCAGAATAGATTGTCCTGCAATAAAAAACACACTCTGGTGAGTCATTAACTCTTTCAACTCCACTGCTTTTTAAATGCTGACTACACCATGTATGTGCTAGTCCCCACTTGATATTTCCTTCTGTTTGAATTTGCTACCCAGCAGAGCATGTTTGTGTATGCCAGGCACCAAAGCCTGTTCAAAAAACCTTGGTGCTGTTTTACTGTCAGAAGGGAAAATGCTACTGTAGCACATACAGCACTTTGCATCTTCAAAGAGCTGTCCAAAAATCAACTAGCTAGTCTTCACAGTGTGCTTATGGGTCAGTAAATACCTTCACACCTATCATACAAAGGGAAAACAAATGGAGCTCGAGCAACCTGGTCTAGTGGAAGGTGTCCCTATTTATGGCAGGGGGGTTGGAACAAGATGATCTTTAAGGTCCCTTCCAACCCAGGCCATTCTATGATTCTATGATCAAAAATACATCAACCTTGCTTTTATTAACTGCTGTTGTTTCAGTGGAGGCATATTGACACACAGCAGCCTACTACTGAAATCTGCTTCAGCTCCAGAAGGATCTCACCCCCCTACTGAAAAACTGTTCAGAACCATCCTTGGTAACTGTTGTCTCCATAGACAACAAAAGTAGTTTGTCAACAAACTGCAGCATTACCGAAAAGCTCCAAGTCCATGGGAAAAAATAAGAAGTGGATATTTTTCTCCTGGCTTAAAGGCAGCATTTGACTTTGCAGGACAGGTCACTGAACCTGGATAAAAACAGAAGTGTATGTCATTGTTACTGAAATGAGAGAAAGTGTTCGTTCCTGTGGGAGAGATCCCAAGAGTGTGGTGACCACTGATTTCAGTGCAGTCACCCAAAGATAAGGTACTAAGTCTCATCTTTAAAATACATAAGACAAATCTGGATCTCATTCTGAAAATACTTACTACTTGGCAGAAGATACTTTCCCTCTCTTCTTCCCAGTCACAGTCTGGCACAAGGTCTACATATCTCCTAAACGCTAACAGTCCGGCATCCAAGTCTTGTTGGTATTCAGACCTTAGGACCTCTCCAGCTTTTACATCTTTGCACATTTCCCTGTGGGATTTGAATCCCAACACACAGATGCAGCTTACCCAAGCTCTTCCTAAAGCAAGCTGCCCAGAAACTCCTATCCACAGCAGTCAGGGACTGCCTGAGAACTTGGTCACGTTCAACACTGAGCCTCCCTACAGAAACCCATCCCACAAAAACACTTGTTTGCTAAAATATATTTTTCAGTCCAGCAATACCAGCCTGTTCTTGGAGCAGCGAGGCAGCAGCCTGCAAACAGAGCTCATGCACTAGTCAAGGAATAAAACCAGAACCAGTCTTACCAACGTAGTAATGGAAAAGCCTTTCTCCTACAATCCGGTACATATTAAGGAAGTCAGAGAGTCCCTGATAGTATTCTCGATCTGGAATCCATCGTGCCTCCTCAGTATCTGTGGCATCACGTGCTGGGTAATACAGGCGCAAGAAGCTTCCCTGGGATCAGGAGGAAAGTAAAAAAAAAGCAATATTGGCATTTCTTTATATATGGCAGAGAAAAAGGAAGATAAAATCATCTATATAAAGGGCTTCAGATGCAAGAATGACAGCTCAAGAGATTTAAGAGAATCTCATGAGAAAATTATTATCATATACAGGCTTTGATGCCAATTCACTTTCTGTCCCTAAAATGAATTTAAAGTAGCATTGAGATACAGAACTTCACAGGTAGAGATACACATTACTTTCCCTAGGTTAGCCTATGGCTAATTCAAAATGCTCCATTTAACTAAGTTAATAATTTACAAACAGTCACTAGCGATTTGCTCCATTTCTGCATCTTGCTGGATCTTTCCTTCTGTCTTCCTCACTGGGAATGGTTCTATGATGCAGTTTTATAGGGCTGACTGTTAGAGGGGTGACTGAGGATGATCTGAGAGCTGAAGCATCTCTCCTAGGATGACGGGCCAGGAGAGCTGGGGACGTTCAGCCTGAAGAAGGCTCTGGGAAGACTTTAGATCACCTTCTAGTACCTAAAGGGGCTCTAAGAGTGCTGAAGAGGCACTCTGGACAAAGGCCTGGACTGACAGGACAAGTGGTAATGGCTCTAAACTAAGAGAGAGCAAGGTTAGATTGGATATTATGAAGAAATTCTTTACTGTAAGGGTGGTGAGGTCCTGGCACAGGTTTCCCAGAAAAGTTGTGGCTGCCTCATCCCAAGGCCAGGTTAGACAGGGCCCCGAGTAACATGGCCTAGTGGAAGGTGTCCCTGCCCATGGCATATGGTCTTTAAGGTCCCTCCCGATCCAAACCATTCAGTGATTCCATGATTTTATGACTTTGTCCCTTCACCCTTTCAGCTGGGAGCTGTCATTGCTTTCCTTGCATCAGTGAGTCTCATGGAGCTGTTACTGACCCAACTGAGTTTGCTAAACTGGGAGAGGGGGGGAAAGGACCCCCTTGGATGTATATTGTTCCACTAGGTTACCAAGACAGATTTTACTCTGAGACTAGTTTCTGGAAGTGTGGTCCAGCAGAGGAGGTGTTGTCAGGGGCATGGTCTTGTGGCTATAGTGTTCCTGGCTAAACTGAGCAGAGGCTGTCTGTGAAGCTCTTGGGCAGCTGCACAGCAAGGGAACACAATATATTGTTCTTCCTCCTCAACAAGATGCTTACAAGTCTCTAGTGGTCCATCTTTCTAAACACAACTTTGCTAACCTGTGCTTTATCTGCTTCTGTTCCTTACCACCAGTTTGAATCTTCTTTTATTGTCTGCACTCCAGGTCTCCCAGGAAAGCACCCAAGCTTTCCACACTCACGTGGACCCTCCATACCCCTTGTCAGTCCTTTTCCTTTGCAGACAGCAGCAATGTACCAATGGCACACCTCAAAGCAGAGTTCCAGGCAGATGAACTGTGTGTAATCTGCATTCTTACTTCCTGGTTTGCAAGGGAATTTGCGACACACTATTCAAATTCACTGTCTTGCTCCAACTGTGCTTTTGGTTTAGCGAGTTAAGATCAGGGCCAAAATAAACATGAGCTTTAGAATAAAGCCTGATTTCTTGAACACTAATGTATCAGTTTACCAAAAGCTTGTTTAATGAAGCTTGTTTCTATTTACTTATCAAAGTTAAACCAACCTTTGACACAAAGACCATTAAAGAAGAACCTCCCTCCATATCGGTAAAGATATTAACTTGATCTCAAAACAGTCCCAGTGAACTTCCCCAGTGATTAACTGCTTACCAGAAAGGGAAAGATGTTCATTATCTATGCTTGAGAGAACTGTAATTGTTCAGAACGCTTATCAAAACAAAAACACATGGGCTGATTGCAAAGAGAAACTAATTGCTGCTTTGTGCTAATACAGAGTAAGCTCAGTAAAGGAAAACATGAAAAACCACTGCAAACTGATCACAAGCTCCACTATGGCTAGTCTGAGGAGTAAAACCACAGTGTTACTGCAGGCGTATTGTTTAAGAAGCAAGAGGATTTGATACAGAAACCCACAAGTGAAGTCATTTGTCTACCTGTGTGCTTACTGTACCCATCTTCTTATCCTGGCTTCTCACTGTGCTAACCTCTTACAGAACTGACATCCTGTTCTTCTCAAGAGAGATAAAATCTCAAGAAGACATCTCACACTTTACCCTGCAGCTGAAACACTGCACACCCTCATCTCCCAGCCCTGCACACCTGCATCTCCCAACACTGCCAAATCCTGTTGGGACCTTTGTGATGAGAACAGCTACAGTCACAGAGACTGCATGTGGAGTCTCCTCAGGAGCCCAGTGCAAGAGGGAGTGGTGGGGTGGGTGGGACATAGTTTCTCTGCAGTATCTTGAGTAGGAGAGTCAGAAAGAAGAGGATATTAGGAGGAAGGAGGAATTGGCCATGGGGAAGGCCTGCAGGTTACATCCATCTAGCAAATGCCAAGTATACATCCTACATCAGGATGGAGAAGGTAGAAAGCTCAGCTATGAATGTCAGTATGGAGCACACAGACAAGACCTTCTGTGTGACTCCTCTGTAAAACTACAGCAAGTTGTTTCACTGACACTGTGGCTTAAATCCAAAAGAGAAAGAATCAAAAGCTTTACCTCAACTGCATTTTCTGTCATCAGGTCCGTACATCCAACCGAGTGTGGCCCCTTTCCTTCAGGAATTCTGTAAAATCTCTCAGTGCTGTTGGTCCACATTTCCATTGGTGCCTTCACTGGCAAACCTGGAGAAAAGCGCAAAGCAAATCAGGAGAGGGCCATGGCCTCTGTGACCAGATCACCCACCCTGAAACAAATCCAGTGCGCTGAAAATCCAGGAGTAAGAAATTCAAGATTGAGCCAATACATAAATCTGCTTTATGAGAATCAGAGAAATCCCGAATCACCAACCTGACCTGTTCTACTGGGGAATTTCCTTGGAGTATCCTGAATCCTAAGGATCAGACAGCACCGTGCACTTACAGAAAGGTGGGATGAAATCTTTGGCTGAGGAGGCCGCGGTGGCACTCGGGAGGTCTGCGGTGCTACGAACCGCACAGAGGGAGGATTTTGCGGCTCCCCAAGGAAAATCGGCCTATTCATCAGGAGCAGCGGGATGTCACGGAGAAATACAACGCCGCTGCCATTTTTCCAGGAGGAATGACGAAGCCCAGGTTCGATCCCTGGAGAGACAAGGGCGGGCTGCCCGTGACGGAGCGGGTGTCGGGGCGGTGCGGCCGTACCTGGGGTGACCCCTCCGAGCCGGGCGGGCCCCGGGGATGCGCCGAGCGCGGGGGGAAGCAGCCGCATCCCGGGCTGGGCAGCAAGGAAGCCGCTCCGGCCGCGGGGGTGGGCTCTATCCGCTGCCTTCTCCTTCGAGAAGGAGACACGGGACCATCCCCAACCCACCGCCCCACCGGGCTCGGCCGCCCCGGGGCGGGACTCCCGGGGAAGGACTCCCGGGGCGGGACTCACTCCCCGGCCGCTGTCAGCGGCTCCTCCCCGGAAGAACCGCGGTGTAGGCGGCCGCTCCTCCCCGGAAAGGCCCCTCGCAGCCGGCGGCGCGGCGGAGCCTGAATCCCGTATCTCGTCAAGATGGTGCGGAAACTGAAGTACCACGAGCAGAAGCTGCTGCGGCGGCTGGACCTGGTGAACTGGGAGGCGTCGGGCGGTAACTTGGCGGAGGTGCGGGCGCTGCGGCGGTACCGGCTGGGCCGGCGGGAGGACTACGTGCAGTACAAGGCGCTGGCCCGCTCCGTGCGCGCCCTGGCCCGGCGGCTCCGCGACCTGGGCCCGGACAGCGCCGCGTTCCGCGCCCGCTGCGCCGCCGCGCTGCTGGAGAAGCTGCACGGGCTGGGTCTGGTGAGCAGCCGGCAGTCGCTGGCCGTCTGCGAGAGCCTCTCGGCCGCCGCCTTCTGCCGCCGGCGCCTGCCCTGCCTGCTGGTGAAGCTGCGGATGGCGCAGAACCTGCGCCACGCCGTCACCTTCGTGGAGCAGGGGCACGTCCGCGTGGGGCCCGAGGTGGTCACAGACCCCGCGCTGCTCGTCCCCCGCGCCGTCGAGGATTTCATCACCTGGGTGGACGCCTCGCGCCTGCGGCAGAAGGTGCTCGACTACAACCAGGAGCGCGACGACTTCGACCTGGCTGCGTAGGGCTGCTCGGCGGGACATACACACGCTAGTGATGCCACCACTGGATATTCACCCACCCCTTCCAGACGCACCTGGAAAGGGAGCCAGAAGGAAACTGCGCTTCTAGTGTGGTATTGCCCTCCTCCTGGCTCCCCTTTGCAGCTAATGGCTCCATTCATCCATGCGGAAAAAATTCCCTTCCACATCCACCACTTCAAGAATGCGTCCAGTGGCCCAGCTCCGTTGTTGTCCCTGGTGTGTCCAGTGCCATCATCCCTGGAGTGCCCAGCTCCATTGTCATCCAAGTGTCCCAGCTCCATCATCATCCCTGGCATGCCCAGCTCTGTGGTCATCACAGCAACTCAACTCCGTCGTCCCAGCGTGCCCATCTCCATCCTTCTTACAGCCCAGCTCCATTGTCCTTACATCCCATAAAGCAAAAGTGCTTGGAAAAGTCTCTGCCTGATCGCAGGAGAGGATGTGGTTAGGTTTAAGTGCTTGGGAGCTAATACTAGCTGCTGGAAGGGATTTTAAGCCTGGCCAAGTGGCTGATTTAAGACATGAGTTTGGCAGCTCAGCTGCTGTTTTTTGAGAAGTTGCCCTGTCGGTTCTTCCTTCAGCTGTTGGATGCACAGGAGCCAGAGTTGCTGCTTCTGGAAGGGTTTCCTCTTGATACCAAGCAACATATATATAGGGAAAATGTGGGGATTGTTGGGGGTCAGCAGTAAACAAGGAGGCCAAATACTGCATTTCTGGAACTGTTAAAGCTTTAGCCAAATATGGAATAAAAAAAAAAAAGCCAACTTTATGTTCATGTGAAGATGTAAAGGGAAGTTTAATGTGCTGAGTTCAGTGTCTTTGCTGTGTGGGTCTCCAGCTGACAATTAGGCATCATTTACAGAGCAGGATCTAACTGGGGAGGCATTGGAGCAAAAGCTGACCTAACCATAACTGCAAATCTGGGGGGAACTGTTGCATGTAGTACATTAGCCAGACAAAAACTGGTACTCAAGGGGAACCTTAGGCTTTCTGAGACTGTTGGGAACTTTGTTTCCCTTTCATTAAAAAAACAGAAAAACAAAAATAAAGTTTTTTTGTAAGTTGGTGGAGAAATGTGTGGACTATTTTATGATATAGTTTCTCTGAGAGTTTGTCCTGATTTTTAATTGTTCCACAAAGGCCCATTTGTCATTTTGTAGAACTTTTTTTTTTAATTTGAGGTCTTTTATGTAACTTACATAACCTTTTCTTTTTTTGATAGCTGTAAGGCTATTACTGAATTCTAATGTGTTTTTTGTTAGCAGTGCTTTCTTTCCATTACCCAGGGCTATGAAAGGATTTGGCAGTAGGTTTAGGAGTGGAGCTGTGACTGCCCATTCCAAGTCCAAAGGGCTGGAGTTCAGCTGCCACTGAAGCTCTGGGTCTGTATGCTTTAATGTGGCTTTTCTAAACAGAAAGATGTTCAGGTGAGGGGTTTTTTTGAGGTTTTAGAGAAACTGTCATATTATGGCTGTTTTTTAAAAGGCAAACTAAATGTTAAAATTTCTACACATCTCATAAGCCAGCTGTATTAAGCAGAACATTAATTTATAAAGCAATAACAGATATTAAGAAAAGGACACCAATTGCACCTTGCTTATGGTAAGAAATACAAGTTGAAAACACATTTTGCACCTGAAGTCTGACTTTTTAAACACCTTCCCAGCTTTCCTCTAGAACAACGTCATTATTTTTTGGGAAATTTGGAAGGTGCCCAATTCAGGTACAGGTAAAAATGGTGCTTTTGCTCTTCTTTACTCTTTTGGGGGAACTTGAATAACAACACAGTGACTGTGCGGAGTGTTTTACTACTCATATGATAAACTGCTGCTCTGCCCAGTGTGTCCAGCCTTTGAAAGAACAGCAGAAAAGGAAATATCAAACCTCCAGCCTGTCAGCCTCCATAGTTTACATCATCAGCCCATTCTTTTTGTATTAAACCAACTTTTCAGCCTTCATCTGTGCACCTCCAGCATCTGCAGCAGAAGAGAAATGACCCAGCCCCTTATAGGCTGTTAAGTTAAGCATTGGGAATTGATTTCCCTATAAATACTTTGGGATAACAGCATCCATCAGCCCTGCTCTCCTCCTGTGGTACTGGAAATTAAATTCTTATGCTCTCTAAGAAATCAGGCTGTGGGTTTATATGTCTGTATGTGTTCTAAGTCTGGAGTGTCACAGCTGTGCTGGCTGTACAGTAGCTGAGGCCTGAAATGAGCGTCCTGCTCCTCAATTTTTAACAGCTGGAGTCCTCACATGCCTCAGATGAGAGCTGGGTCCACTTCAATCATGATAAACAGGTAAAATGGAAGTTCCAGCAGCATGTCCTCGTTCCTGATGGTGAATTCAGCCAGGGAGATGATGGCTTCCTCGTGTCTCATGGTGGTTTTGCCTTCAGTTTGTGGGTTTGAGTTTGTTTGCCAGAGCTGATGTGCTGTGGCTGCTGCAGGGCGGTTCCCGCAGCGGTTCCGGAGCTGGGGATTGAAAGGGCACAGGAAGCAGCTCCGACAGCCTTTCCCAACACTTGGATAAACACAGAGGCTTTTTTTAAATTCCAAGGTTGGATCCAATGTCAGTATAGATCAGCACGAGCTTCCATGGGTCTGTGTGAACTAGCACGAGGAGATGATCCAGCATGGAGCTTTTTTGGGCCAAATCCTGCAAATTCCCCTCTAGTGCTCCAGGGATTTCCAGTGGGAGAGCTTATGCATGTGAGAGCAGCAGGATGGGGTCCTGGGTGTCACTGTGCTACTTCCCAGCACTTTCTGAAGTGGGTTTGCTGTTCCTGAGGGGGCCCGACATCTCCATGAATCTTGTGGGAAGTTGCTTGTGCAGGAGGACAGAGGATGGTGGTGCTGGTGTTGGAGCAGGCTCTCCATGTGCCTGACAAAACCTGATCATTGTCACCTTGACAAGTGTCTGTCCCAGCAGCTGGGGGCTGCAGAGGTGTCAGCTTCTCCAGCAAGGGAGGAAAGGGCTTCAGGGGGCTCTGGGAAGGGTGAAAGCCATTGGCAAATGGCGAGCAGTTCCCAAGCAGGAGCGCTCACTTGGGTAGTGGCCAGCTGGAAGGGAGGTTTTACCAGGGCCTGCAGTTTTAGATTTGGGTTTTGGCTTTTTTTTTCCTTTTTATTTTTTCTCCTTTGTTGTTTTTTTTTTCTCCTGACCTTGTCTTTTCCTTTATTTGAAGGCTGCCAAAGCGGGGGAGCTGAGCCTGAGGAATGTGAGGGAGCTGAAGGAAAGAGCCCTTCACACTGGTGCCTTTTGTGTTGCAGAGTGTAAAAGGCTGAGGCTGTCACTGAAATGCTAATGTGCGTTTTTTTCACTGATCTGAGCCACTTATTTTCCCAGTAAACAAGCATGCTGCATGTTTTAAAGGCTGCTTCCATGCAACATCTTGATGTGGCTTAGTGCTGACCTCAGTAATTCAGTGACAGCACATCACCATGAGTACAGAGGCTAGGGAAGGTTGGTACATCCCCCTTCTCAAGATCAGAAATGGAGACTGAGAGAACCAAAGGTGGAGCTGGGCAATTCCCAAGATTTCACGTCAGGGTCCTGCATCCTGAGTTAGGCCACGGCCTTACAGCCTCATCTAAGGGCATTTTCCCATGCTCATCTCAGTAGCACTCCCCAGTATGATATTCCACAGTGGTTGAAAGTGTCACTGTCCCCTTCTTGAGCTCTGATTAATCTGTTTTAAGGACATCCCCTGCCTGATTTGGCACTGCAGATTGAACCAACGAGCGATTTCTCATCACCAGGGCATGGGATCACCTTAGTCTCTACCCCAGATACCAAAACATTTCAACACTCACAGGGTCTGGGGGAAAAAGCACATGTAAGCATTATGACAGCATTTACCTGAGAGCCCCAGCTCTTGTCCTTGCTTTCTAATACCCCATTTTAAGGACTGAAAAAACTTGTTACCCTTTGCTTGCTGGTTTGGGCCTGCAGCAGGACTTGGGTGGTGAGAAACCTGTCTGCTGTGTGGTTGGGGCATGGGGATGTCAGGTGGAACTAGCAGGAAGCAGCTCTGCAGTCAGCAGGAGGAGGCACTTGGGTTCAGTCTTTCCATAAACTGTGGAGTTTCTGGATCCAATAGTTAAATCCAAGTGTATGTCCCACAGCAGGAGCATCCCCTATCACTTCTCTGCAAGCACTGGAGAACAGCCCCTTCCTGCATCATATTAGCTGATTTTGAAGAGATAGAATGTTTCACTCCCAGCAGGCAGAGAAAGGGGAGGCCACCCACTAATAACATCGGAGATGGGATTGGTGTGTCCCCTGTTTCCTGAGCTGCCTCTTAGAGGGTCTTATTTGTAAGTCACAACAGCTTCTTAGCTGCTCTAACCATGTTAGTGGGTTGGTAAGTGCAAGCCCAGGCAGCACCACCACCCCTGCTCCCTCCCTGGAGGAGCCACCACCTGCTGCTCCTGGAGAGGCTTGGATGGTTGTGTCACAGGGTAAAGTACAGGCAGGCTGTCCTGACGTCTGCCAGTCCACCACCTCACCACTGAGTTCATCAAGCTTAAAACACATCAGGAAACCCACGTCTTAAAATCGCCATCCCTCTCCCCACCAGCTCCAACAGCAGTTGGGGTGCAGGGTCCCTTGCAGGTATCGGGATGCTGGGTGTGTGGGAGGCGAATGCTGTGCTGGCAGAGCACCCAAAACCTCCAGCTGTGTCCCTCTCAACCTCCCAGAAATATTTAGGCGGGCAAGGACGCTGGAGGTCACCCAGTCCAAGCCCCTGCTCAAAGCAGGACACGCCTCGGGTCTGCACATCTCAGACCCTCGCTGTGAATTAACTTTACCCTTCCATCTAGTCTGAGTTTCCTCTGCTGCAGCCCAGCACTGCTGCTTCCCATCGCCAGGCTGGGCACGGCCGTGTCAGGAGGTGGGTTACTTTTCCCCACCGGAAAATTCGCCCTACACTCAACGGCGAAGGGGGACGTCCACCGGAGTGAATCCCACCCCTCCGCAGGGACGCACAGGGATTTGGGGCCAGATACGGGGCTGGAAGGGAGGAACTGGAGAAACGCGATCCCTCGAGGACTGGGAACAGGCTTCCTGCATGAGCCGGCTGAACCCGTGGAGCGGGGAGCGCTGATAACATGTGTGAAGGGCTGCGCAGCAACCACCCAGCTCTTTAAAATCCCCTTCACGTCACCGTCGCTCCTCCCCGTGCTCTCCCCAGACCCTTTTTTTTGCCCTCGAGCAGGGCCTGGTGCTTCCCATACCTGGTGTGCGGTGTCCCGGTCGCCCTGTGCTCCCGTCCCGCCGTCCAGAGGAGCAGGACGGCCACCCAGAGCCCTGCGGAGCCGGGGGAGCGGCGGCTGCTCCCACAGGAGGACGTCTGTCCCGCAGGCAGAGCCACTGCCGGGCTCTGCCCGAAGGGGAGGGACCAAACTTTGCCTTAGTTTTCAGCTGAGACAATCTTCCCGGGAGAAATCTCCCCTGGGCCTGGAAAATAAGTTTCTGGCACGGGGCCATCCCAAGCAAAGACTGCGCGTCCCGGCGGATCCCGCGGCCGCCGAGGTGCCGGGCTGTGCCTCCGTGTGGCAGGGACGGGATCATATGTATGGATTCTGGATGTCCCGGCGGTGCTGCCGAGCGTGGCTGAGTGGGGCTGCGTCAAGCACCAGGAACCCCAAGAGAAAATTCCCCCGGATGGGTTGCAACATCCCGCGGAGGAGCTGTGGCTGGACGAGGAGGGGGGACCAGCTGCGGGGGAGCGCTTTGCCTCAAGGTCGCTCCGTAAAAAGCCGAATCTTTTCCCCTCTGGCCTTAGGAAAAGGGGGTAATCACACTCTAGGGAAGCATATCCTGCTTCTGAGTACAACTTCTGGAGAGGTTTAAAGCAGATTGAGCACAGGTCCCTACTGGCAGGGCAGATCTGCACTGACCCCCCCTTTGCACAGCCCTGGCATTTGCCCCCTCTGTAACACTGAATTCAGGGAATTAACCCTAAAACCAGCACCAATAATAACAGATTATTTTATGAGAGATGAGCAGCTATTAAACGGCCATATGAGCTTCAAAGGAAGCAGCAGGGGAGGAGGGGAGGTAAAATTTGGCTTGGCCTAAATTACTTATGAAGCTGTCCCATGGACTGTCCCCTTGGAGAGCTGGTGAGCTCTTGGAGTGGGATCAGTGGCTTGTCTTCCTCTCCCTTTCTCTCTGAAGCTGGAAAAGAATAAGCAAGTTGTATGAAAAGGTCCAAGAGTTTGTTTTCTTCCCTGTATTTTGGTCCAGCCCTCATTTCAGTGATGGGCTGGATGCATTAAAATGTGACATTTTCAGGATAGATTTAATGTTGTTGAAATCTTGAAGGACAGCTCAGAACATCTCTGCTTAATCTAAAGGAACAGGTTCTTCAAGACTAGTGAGAGGCAATGAGGAGGAGGCAGTGCACAAGTGGTTGAAGTAACCACTAGTTACTTCAAGTAACAAGGCATGTCAAAGCCAATACATCTGTGGCCCACTAGGAGCTCCAGAATTTATTTTATTTTTTAATATGCTCAGATATTCCCAGACATGCAGGAGTCAAGCTCAGTAGAACACAAGTATGAGTCTTTTCTTTGGATCTTGTCTGCACAGTCCAACCACCTAAGACTGAAGCAGGCTGTGAATCCCTCTGACCTTTGTACTTCATCTTTTTCTTACAAAAAATCAGAGTGGAGATGATTCTATGTCCTTCCAGCCTGGACTTGGGAAGTGATTGATATGTTTATGGGAGCTGAGAGCAGATAAATGGCCTAATCCATCTCTGGCTCAGGATGTAGCCTTTAGGATTACAAACCTTCCCTCACAATCAGCCTTTGCAAGCTCTGATGTTGGTCCTTTCCAACATGTTGAACACGAAAATCACACTCTTTTCAAAGCTGTGAAAATTTCTCCATGAAGTAAATGCAATGCAGAAGCTGGAGCAAATCCTAAAATGCTTCTGGTTTATCAGGGTGACAGGACTAATTAACTTAAGCTCAGCTATTGATATGGAAATATAAAAGTTTTCTCCCCATTGATTTGACCAGAGAGAATATTGCAGTTTCCATTCTCAGGATGATGAAGTAGCTAGTGATCCTTGCAATCTGCTTAGATGTCAGCAAAGCAGCCCGGAAATACCCCCTAGCACAGGTATAATTATTGAAATCCAAAGCCTTGCAGGGGCTGGAGATCTGCTTGATGGGGGTCTATTGAATGGGACTGGTAATGAGAATTTTAAGCTATGGGCTCAGTTATTTTCTAGAATCATAGAATGGTCTGGAAGGGACCACACCCCCTGCCATGGGCAGGGACACCTTCCACTAGACCAGGTTACTCGAAGCCCCATCCTACTTGGCCTTGGACACTTCCAGGGATGGGGCAGCCACAGCTTCTCTGGGCAACCTGTGCCAGGGCTTCACCACTTTCACAGCCAAGAATTTCTTCCTAACATCTAATCTAAATTTCTCCTCCTTTAGTTTAAGTCCATTCCCCCTTGCCCTATCACTATCTGCCCATCACTTTTTCTGTAAGTTTCATTCTTCTTATTATTATCCCTTATTATTTTTTGCGCCAAAGAACATCAGAGGAGATACTTGCACAGTCATTTCTGTTGTTGCAATAAAATGCTACCAGTAACAGATCTGCAGCATTGGCAAGGGAGGAGCCAGTTTCCATGGTTAGTGAGCACAACAGACCCATGGCAAATGTTCACTGTGAGCTGGATTTTAGCAGCAACTCCCTTCAGAAAGGCTTTAGGTACAAGTCCTTTATATAAGTCCTTTATATAAAGGGTTGCACTTGGCTCCAGATTTCCATGACTACAGACCAAATGTCACTATCAGTCTGTGATCACCGGTTTGAAGATAAATTATAATTACTTTTCCTCTTTCATTCCTTTTCCCTTATTTTTGTTAAATCCTGGTTTCTCACAGTTCCTGTCTCATTTTTAATCCAGGTGCTGCTTGATCTATTAAAACAGCCCTGAGAGGAGCTGATACATCAGTGAACATCCACCAAACACCTGTTGCTCTGTTACCAGGCGCCTTTCTGAAGGGTGCAGCATGACAGAGCTCCACGAAGCCGTGGCTTTGGGGGACTACGACCTGGTGGAAAAGATTTTGAAGGCAGGACGCTGCGACCCAAACCACAAGGACGTCGACTGGCACGACAGGACCCCACTGCACTGGGCTGCTGCCAAAGGTGAGGGCACCCCTGGCTCTGTTACCTCTGCTAACCAGCGTCATAAAAGGTGATGCTGGTTGTAATTATACATATGCTGGAAATAATCACAGCTTGTATTTGGTAGCTTTGTCCTAAATAAAAAAAAAAAAAAAAAAAAAGATAAAAATACCAATTTAAGTGGGAACTTTGCCTACAAAATAATTCATGGGATTGCCATCAAAGTGATTTTTAACTTTTTTTTCTTCCATCACATGAGAATTTGCAATTTACATGGTAGGTACATGGCTCTTGTCCCCCACTTGACTTTTCTAACAGGTGACTCCATACAGTGCAAAGAAGTTATTTCTCATGTACACCTGTGTGAGTGAGCAGAAAGTAAAACCCACTGTATTTGTACCAGATATTTATCAAACCCAATAGAACAAAATAACTGTGTTTTACATTGCTTTCCTTTTTTCTCACCTGCTTGAGTAAACAAGGCAGGACCAGAGGTGTTTGCAGCTCCCATTTGGTCTTTCTCCTTCAGAAGTGTCTGTTAAAATCAAATATCCCTTTACATCTCAAAAAAGAGATGATGCAACAATACATAATGTATAATTGTACTCTGTGTAAAATGGGAAGCTGAACCTCTGTTCCTCTATGCTGCACTGTTTGTTACACGTTGGGATCTCATGTCATGGCATCTGTCTTTACTCAGAAATTAAGTTTATAATTTGCTGTTTGAAACTTGAGACCATGTTTTTCTTTTGCCCTGATGGATTATTATGCATTTAGGCATCAGCAAAGGGAACTGAGCTACTTAAGAAAATGAGAGACTAACATTGCCTAGAGGCCATTGGGAATGATCTAGCTCAGTCAAGGCAGTGTGAGGTGGGCTAGAAATAACTTTTTTTGCTTCTTTAAGCAATTCCCCAGGTTAGAAAAATGAGAAGGTGAATGAAAACAAGTATTTTCTCTACCTCCTGTCCAACAAACCTTTGTTTTAGTAAAGCTGTTCACAGGTTTTCCCATTCTTTATGTTTAAATCTTATACTGCAATGAACTAAAAAGCAAAATGTAACAAAGAAATAGTCAATTGGTCAATGACTAATTGCTGTTCAGAAATTAGAAAGCTTTTTGATCTAATAGTTGTTTTTTTTGTAAAGTTCTTCTGGAAGCAGTCTAGTTTGGGAAAAAACAACCAGCTTTTTCTATTGAGTATCATTTATATGATAATACAAATGGTCGGGTCGTGGGTAAAAATCCATGGCTGAGGGAATTATGATCAACTGTGTGTGACTGTCTCCTGCATCCTGACGGTACAAATTCTGATGCAGTTGCATTTTCTCTCCTTGTTTTGCTGCCCACCTCAAGGGCGGTCGGATCTGGTCAAGCTCCTCGTGGATCACGGCGCCCGGCATTGCCTGCGGAGCGACGTGGGCTGGACTCCGGCTCACTTTGCCGCCGAGTCGGGGAGGCTGAGGGTGCTCCGCACCCTCCATTCCCTGCACGCCGCCATGGATGCAGCCGACCTCTTTGGCGACACTCCCAAGAGGCTTGCGGAAATCTACGGTCACCAGGACTGCTCCAAGTTCTTGGAGAAGTGAGTAGTGACGGCAGGTCCCACTGCGGCAGTGGATGGGGCTCCAGCAATGAAAATTAAACAAACTGTCCTATAAGGGAACAGAACAAACACAGGGTGTTACTTATCTGTCCACCTAAAGCCTGTTATAGCCGTCAAGCACGAGCAGTAGGAGATAAGCAAACACCGGTCTGTCACAGGCAAGTCATTTAGAAGAAATTCTTTTGTTCCACTGCCTCCTGTGGTTTGCCTTGGTATGTTTTCAAAAGTGTTACCGCTGGTGACATCATTGTTTTTGTAAGGGTGTTACAGAGAGCTTGTTAAGCAACAGAAACGAGAGCAACAGCTGGCAAAGATTAACCCCTTAGAGAGTGGTGAATACTGAAGACACAGGTTGAATTGTTTAAGAGCAGCCCTTCAGCAGTTATATATGTATATATATGTATATCATCTGGCTTTTCTTATAGTAAAGAAAAGAATCGTTGTATTTTTTACATAATTATTGAAAATTAGACCATTTGATCTGTTAATAGGATGGCCATATATTACTCCCAAATTTTGGGATACTCCTTACTGCTTTAACTGTTTACAGTTAGCACTGTGGCACCACTTGCCATGAGAAATATGCTTTTAGAGGATTCCCAATTACCATTCCTGTTTTTCAGCCACTGGTTTGGCTTGCAGATATTTTCATCCTTGCAAAGCTGTTTCCCTGGATTAAGATGCTGTACTCCAGAGGTTTGAGCTGTGTCCCATACCTGCATCTCTCTCAAGCAGTGGGACAGATCGCCAGAGGCCAACCAGCTTGTTCAGTGCAAACCACAGTCCCACACACTACTTGGTGTTTAAATACATTGCCCGTGAAACCTGCACATGCCAAAGCCTGGAATGCTGAGAGCTCCCTAAATCTTTTTCTCCCCTGGGTTTTTCTGTTAATTTACAGTCCCACCATAGTCCTTTACTGGCATCTCTTTCACCACTGCCACAGTTTCAAGACTACTTTGGCACCATGTATATAATGGACTTTTTTTTGTAGACAAATATCTAACTCAAAGTCTCCAGCTTGCCAGTGCAGCACAAGAGTTGCCAAGTTAAAAATCAGGCATGGTGACTGGGCAAATGTCTGACGAGGCCAGTGCCTACCAAGTGCCACTTTTCTTTAGTCCACATAAACCTTTCTGTAGGTGCTGCTGTCCTTTAGCTGTACTTCTACAGCTTCTTGTTTCCTCTGTTAGGGCTCCATGCCCACCTTTTATCTTCACACAGCATCAGTGTTCTGCCATAGGAAAAGACACCCAAACTGTGCAAAATCCCCTTGTACAAAGCCCAAAAAACTTTCTAGGGCAGCCACAGGTTCCAGTTTCTAAGCTCTGGCTATTATGAAAGCTGCTGGAACCTTTGCATTTTACCTGCCCATCCAACACAGAATCATAGAATGCTTGAGAGAGACCTTAAAGCTCATCTCATTCCAACCCTCTGCCATGGGCATGGGCACCTTTCACTAGACCAGGTTGCTTGAAGGCACATCCAGCCTGGCCTTGAACCTGCCAGGGACACCTTAGAGCTAAAGCCGTGCTATATTTGGAGCTGACATGTGCAAACCCTCACTATTCACCACCTTCCTTCAACACAGAAGTATCAGCTCTTCTTAGCCTCAGACATTCAGTTTAAAGACATTTAAACAATGAGCAGCTGTTACCTAAGCTTTGCTAAGTAGGGTCTTAACTGTCTAGACCCTGGCTTTGTAGTAAAGCTCGAGTTTGCCAGACCTTTGAGAATGGGGAACTGTGTTCCAGTGGAGTTTCTCTTTATACTGTTCTCAGTTCTTGGCATGCTTAGTTTCTATACCAGCACAGGTAAATGTTGTCTAACCTAGAGAGTGAAAGTCTGCAGGCTTCTCTCCCTTGATGAATCATTTATAGCAATTACTTAACCTATTCAATGCTGTCCTTTTTGCATTAACCACACCAGTAATTCCTGTCCAATCTGTAGCATTTGCTGGGCACTTGGTTGTGCACGAGGGCCATGGCAGTGAGGTGACAGCAAGGGTAGGGGAATTGCCTGGATGATCCCAACAGGCGATGCCCGCGGCAGGCAGAGGCTCCTGGGAGAATGACTGACAAGTTGATTGACAGGATGATTGACATCCTGGTCTGAGACACCTTAGCAACAGCCTAGGGCAACTCAGGTAGCTGATGAAGGGTTTTCTGAGGTGAATGACTGATTTAAGCTGGAAAACGTGCCTTTCAGAGCCATATGCTGGCCTGACTCACCCCACAGCGGCATGGCTCATCTATGAGCATGGCTGGGAGAACTTACCTGGGAAGATGCTTTGAATGCCCATGCCTAGGACATTTTATAAGGCACACAAAGCCTGTGCAGTCACCTCACAACCATAACACAGCCTGTGGGCAGCCAAGAGTTTATCACTGTTACTCAGGAACACTTTTTTTAAGCCCAACCACTGTAAATTACAACTGCAATGGCTTCACCTCCTCATACCACCAACCTTGGAGCTGGAATGGCTGGCATTTATAGTATAATTTTGATTACCTTCTGCTCCTTTAGATGTGCAGAAGGTCCCAGAGGTGGTTAGGCAGTGTCAGCAGCTGGGCAGTACCAACGTGTGCTGCAGACACAGAATTAAGTGTGTGCCTGCACATAATGCTGCACAGCACAGAGCAGGTCTGCACTCCACTCATGGTGTCTGTGGTATATAAATATGAGGAATATTTTGTCAGTTTGGGGTATTTGCTTGTCATGCAAAAAGAGAGAAAAGGCAGGTTTTCCATTTTTAAATTTGAGGGTCTGTGCCAAATGCAGGCTGATGAGCATATCTAAACAGGGCTATGAGTATCCAAATCCTTCCTAAATCCTAATTCAGCCCCATCTAGCACTACCATGACCCTTGAACGCTGTGTGTCTGTACCCAGGTGTTGCCAGCTACATGAACTACCTGCCTGCCCGGGTTGGGCCACTGCTCTGTGCTGAGGACTCTTTGCATCCACATGGAAATATTACATGTATCAACATGGAAATATTATTAACATGCAAATATTGGGAATATTTTGCTACCAAGTATCCGTACGACTCACTGAGGTTTGCATGGACATGCAAAGGTTAGGAAACAGCCTTCAAAACAGCTACTTCTGAATAACAAACACATATTTTGCATCAGATTTGTTTTGCATGAAAAGGGCTTTACCCTGGTTGCTGTGAGAGCTGCCAAGGATGGTGCTGAGCTGGCACAGACACCCACAGCCTGTGCCTGCTGCCAGCCTCTCTGCAAAGTGCCAAGTGTTGAACCTGCACCAAAGGCTCCTTCTATCTGAGCCTAAAGCATATGTTTATACTCACGTGTGTATAGGTACATACATTTAGAAGTCTACAGAAAGATGTTTCTTGCCCTTGGTAGCAGATAGTTAACAGGAGAAAATAGGATAGTTCAGTTCAAAGGGGCCTGCCACAATCATTTGGTCCTATGGCCTGACCACTTCAGTGCTTACCAAAAGTTAAATCATGTTATTAGGGGCATTTTCCGAATGCCTCTTAAACACCAGCAGGCTTGGGGCCTCAACTATCTCTCTCAAACACAGACTCTGTGGAGACCTTAGATCACCTTTCAGTACCTGAAGAGAGCCTACAAGAGAGCTGGAGAGGGACTTTTGACAAGGGCGTGGAGTGAGAGGACAAGGGGGAATGGCCTAGGTAAGTAGGGTTGGATTAGATACTTGGAAGAAATTCTTCACTGTGAGGGTGGTAAAGGACCTGGCACAGGTTGCCCAGAGAAGCTGTTCTCTGAAAGTGTTCAAGACCAGGTTGGATGGGGCTTGGAGCAACCTGATCTACTGGAAGGTGTCCCTGCCCATGGCAGGGGGTTGGAACGAGATGATCTTTAAGGTCCCTTCCAACCCAAACCATTCTGTCATTCTCTGACGTAGTAAGCTTATGTGATGAAGCTCATCAGTGTGAAGGCACTGGCTTTGCTTCCTGCTCTCAGTTGAGATAGCATTGCACTGATGTGACAGAGCTGTTCTTTCACAGAAAAAAGTATTTTTTTCCTGATACTTGATGATGTGTTTCTGATAGAGCTGCATAAATCCTGAGTGCCTACAAAATCAGAGCTCTGCAGTAGGAGGAAAGGGTTTGCCTTCTCTTGGACAAGACTTACACTTGGAGTTTCCATGTCCAGATCCTGACAGTGGTGGCATCCAGGGGGGTCTCTGTGAGGAGAGGTTGGGGCTGCACCATGCTGGGCACAACACAGGGTTTTCTCAAGTGTTACTGACAGCAGGTGTTCAACCAGACTGAGGCACAATCCTGGAGATGGACCCTGGAGATGGTGCCTTGTGAACAACCTGGAGATGTGACTGTGCTGTGCTCACTCTTGTTTTCTCTCGCAGGGCAGAGGTGGAGAGCAGAAACTACCGCACGACAGCTGCAATGAAAGGAATCCCATTAGACCAGAGAGATGAAGACTGGGAACAAAAGAAAGAGGAGCTTGGGAGAAACCCACCATGTTTTTGGAAGAACTGCACAACCTCTACTCCAAAGAAAAACGGGGGAAAAAAGGGGAAGCAGTAGTTTGTCCTGTCTGTTTGGTGCCTCTGAGCATGTGAAATGCAGAGCAAAGGCACTGGCAGATCTCAGGTGAATCTGCAGGGTGATATACACGTGAATGGGGGAAGCAAATGCCCACAAGGATGTGTCCTTGAGATATACTGCAAACAACGTCCTTAACAGGGAAGAGTTAGAAGGGCTTCTGTCTTTCTGTGTGTCTCTATGTATCAGATTTCAAATATCAAAAAACTGCAGAATATGTTTAAATATACCAATACTCTAAATCACTGGAATGTTTAAAGTTATTGAGATGACCAGCAGTTACTCACATTGTGAGGGAGGGAAATGGTTTTGGTCCTACCTGAATCACAAAAGCATCTGGGATTGTGGTTCTGCTTGCTCTGCTGATATCCATGGTCTTTTCTTGTTTGCTTCTGGTCCTGCATCAACCAGGAGGCACTACAAGGTGCCTGTGACCTCTGGTGTTGCCTCTCTCTTTTCTCAGTCGTGGGGTGTAGTTGCTTCTTCTGGCTGAAGTTGAGATATTGATTTTGAGCTTTCACTGGACACATGGGTCCAACAGCCTGAATCTCCCATTCCTATCCTAGCAAAAGGGAAAATGTGCTCCTCCTTACTGCTTTCAGAGATCTGTGACTTCCAAGATGGAACACTTCCTTATTTTCAGCAGTACTCCCAACTATTTTTATATCTCTGCCTTTAGGAATGCCGTGAAACTGGTCCTGAGCTGTGCCTTTGATCATCAACACTTCCCACGGCAAAAGCATTTTTAACTGTTTCACTTCTCAATCACAGAAACATGGAATGTGACCCAAAGCAGTTTTCCATACCCTGCCAGCACTGGGCAGCCCCTCCCACTGACCTGTGACATCTCTTCTGGGTCAGCTTCCCCGGGCTGGGCACATCAGTGCATCTCTCCATGTGGGCTGTGCACTGTGGCTGTGCTGGTGGCTAACGTGTCCCCTCCAGGTGCAGCTGAGTGGGGCTGGTGCACAGGGCAGTGCTGCTGTGCTGGGTGTCATGTTCTCAGGGCTTTCATGGAGATGGCAGAAGGTATCTGCAGTGTGGTTTGCTGTGGTTTGCCTTGTTTTGTGTGGTGCTGACATTGGCAAGACGCTGGTTTTGCCTGCTGCGTGTTGTGGTATGTGAGGTTGTGAGGGATGATGTTGCCTGGGATGTAGGGAATCAGATGGGTCTTCCAGGGTCTTCTGAAATCAGTTGGGACTGTCCTGTTAAATGATGAAGTGCACAAGCAACATGAGGGAGAGAAGGGAGGTGTGTTGGTGCCAGTCCTTTCAAGACCTTTCAGTGGGGAGATGTGTCCAGATGAGATTTTTAAGATCCACCTCAGGACTTGAGCTGGTGAGAGAAATGACCAGTTCAGGTTCTGCTCAGTTCATGCTGGAACTATTTCATGTTTAGAGGACCTGCTGTGGAGGTTGGACTTTGGGCAGCTGCCATCCCCCCACCCAGCTGCTCCGTCACTCTCACCCATACACAGGGCAGGCATGGAAGAGCTCATGGGTCAAGATAAAGGCAGGGGAAAACTCACTCATTTGTTATTTTGTCATGACAAAACAGACTCGAATTGGGGAAAATGAACTGAATTTATTTCCTATTAAAAACAGAGTAGAATGATGAGGAACAAACACAAAACTAGAAACCGAAGTCTCCAATCCCCCTGTTCATCCCAGACTCAACTCAACTCCACTCTGTCATTTCCAGCTTCTCCACCTCCTCTCCGTCAGCAGCACAGGGGGAAGGAGAATGGGGGTTGCAGTCAGTTCATAATGTGTTGTCTTCTCCACTCCTTCCTTCTCATGGTCTTCCCCTGATCCAGCACAAATCCTATTTCATGGTTATTTTACTGGGCAGTGTCCATTTGGAAAAGTCAATCTCACCTACAAGTAAAAGCAGAGCAGGAGAGCAGTCACACAGAGCAGGGCAATCGTGTTCTGGCAGGAAGTGGGGCAGAGAGGACCCTCAGGGCTGGTGTGGGCAGTGGGCTCTGCACTCATCTGTGCCCCCCACGGCCATTCCTGCATCACTGTTTGTGTGTCAGTGACCACCCGTGGAGAGTGACAGGGATCAATGTGTTCACACATCAGTTATCAGCCACTGCCAGACAGTGATACAGCTCATCATGTTACACTAGAACAGCAGAAAGTAACGTAAACTAAAACAGACATAAACCTGTTGTTATTTTGGTTGTTTCAACCAGCAAATACCAAAGTGTTTGAGGAAAGTTTGCAGTATTGTTATTGCCCTTCTGTAACCAGCCCATGTACCAGGTCTAAATAAATTTTTTATGGGCAATAATTTAACTCAATAAATTACCTGGATGAAATTATAATTGAAAATATTTTATTTAAGCCACACTATTTTAGTTCATAGGATTTGAATGATATCTTCTTAATCTCAGTGATAAAGACTGAACATCTGTATCATCTACATTGCCTGGAGAGTTGCATGAGAGGTTAAATGACTCCCTTTCTAGAATGAAATATCGACATTTTGCAAGTGCTACAGCAGTTTTTTACAGTTCCTACCTCATGCAAGCCTTGAACTTCACACAGGCCAGAATCCTTAGCAATGTCTTTTCCAGTTTGGGATTGCCAAAAATCAGAATGATTGAATGAGCACCCGGAAAAGCGTATTGAAATACTAAAATGAGAAACGTCACAGGACTTCCCTTCCTCGTGGCATAAACCAGTGTCAAGATCAAAGATGCAAAGTTGATGCTGTACATTACTAAAAAGGAGAGAATGGATTTCATGGCTTTGATGTGGGCATCCATGCTGAGGTCCTTCATGGAGTTTGTCTGCATGTTGTGTTTGTGTTTCCAGAGGGAAAAGAGAAGGAGAAGAGCAGAAAAGGTGACTGCCATGAATGAAACAGCATATCCAAAGCCAGCAATAAAAAAAGAAGGGAAAAAATGTTTATCCATTTTGATATTTGCTTTCCAAAAATTACCTCGTCCAGTGGAATTGCGGTTGTTACAGTGCGGTTTATTAGCGATATCATAGACAATGATGCCAATAACCAGGGAGAAAAGCACTGACCCCAACAAGAGGCAGGGCACAATCCTGTCAATTTTGACTTTCAGGTAGATGAAGAAGCTGTTCCTGAAATTAGCAATTTTTATACAATAAAAGACACAAAGACAGGCTGAAAACCACAGACTGA